TCCCCGAACCAGGAGAGCCACCTCCAGCATGTCCGCCAGGTCCTGCAGCGCCTGCGGGAGAATCAACTCTATGCGAAGGTGGAGAAATGTTACTTCTTCCAGACTTCCATAGAGTTCCTCGGGCACATCATCACCCCCGAGGGCATCGCGATGGACCCGCGCAAGGTGGAGGCTTTGCGCAGTTGGGAACCCCCACGTCAGGTGAAGGACGTCCAGCGTCTGCTGGGGTTCGCCAACTACTACCGGACCTTCATCCCGGGCTTCGCCACTCTGACCTTGCCGCTGACCCAACTCCTTCGGAAGAAGGTCCCGTTCCAGTGGGGGCCCCCGCAGCAGCAGGACTTCGAGGTCCTCAAGCGGGCCTTCATCACGGAGCCGGTCCTCAGGCATCCCAATCCACACCGTCCGTTCGTGGTCGAGACGGATGTGTCCAACGTGGCGATTGGAGCAGTTCTGCTACAGGCTCCGGTGGATGGTGGCACTCTTTTTCCCTGCGCTTATTACTCCCGGAAACTCAATCTTTCCGAGCGCAACTACACCATCTGGGAAAAGGAGTTGCTGGCTATCAAGGCCGCGTTTGAGGCTTGGCGGCATCACCTTGAGGGGGCCCGATACCAGGTGGAGGTGCAGACGGACCATCGGAACTTAGAGCACCTCACCACGGCCAGGAAGTTGAACCAGCGGCAGATCCGGTGGTCGTTGTTTTTCGCCCAGTTCAACTTCCACGTCACCTATGTTCCGAGCGGCCTCAATCAGAGGGCGGACGCGCTATCCCGCAAGCCGGAATACTTCTGCCCCAAGGACCCCCTTCCCCCTCGGACGGTGCTGCCCGCAGAGGCCTTGGCCGCGGTCCAGGAACCGGCGGACCTGCCGGCTCAGGTGCTGGAAGCGCAGCGCCGTGATGACTGGTCGCAGCAGCGGAGAGCGGAAGTTGGCCCAGCGTTCCCATGGACCTTGGAGGACGGCTTGCTGAAGCACCGGGCCCGACTGTACGTGCCTACAAGTCCGCTCCGAGCCCTCGTCATGAACCAGTGCCATGACAATCCCGCGGCGGGGCACTTCGGGTTCTTCAAGACCTTGAACCTGGTGACGCGGACTTTTTGGTGGCCTAGGGTACGGCATGACGTGCACGTTTACGTGACGTCCTGTGTGACGTGCCGACAGGGCAAATCCGCGTCCGGCCCACCTCCTGGACTCCTCCAACCGCTGCTGACACCGGAGAGACCGTGGGGTGCCATCTCCATGGATTTCCTGACGGATCTACCACTGTCCACCACGTTCACAACCGTCCTCGTGGTGGTGGACATGCTCACGAAGATGGCCCATTTCATCCCGTGCCGCGGACTGCCATCCGCCCGCACCACGGCCCGTCTGTTCCTGCAGCACATCTTTCGCCTCCATGGCCTGCCGGACAGGGTGGTGTCGGACCGCGGGGCCCAGTTCACGGCCCGCTTCTGGAAAAGCCTGATGGCCGCGCTGGAGGTGCAGGTGTGCCTATCGTTGGCGCACCATCCGGAGACTGACGGGGGCACGGAGAAGGTCATCGGCATCCTGGAGCAGTACCTCCGCTGTTTCGTCAACCAGAAGCAGGACAACTGGGCCGAGTACCTTCCCCTGGCGGAGTTCGCATTCAACAACTCCCAACACACCTCCACCCAGATGACCCCGTTCCACGCCAATGTCGGATACCATCTACGGTTTTTCCCGTTGGCGATCCCAGATTCCCCTGTTCCCGAGACCCAGGACTTCCTCTCGGAGCTGCAGGCGGTGCAGCAACTGGTGCGACGGCAGCTGATCCGGGCAAAGGAGGACTATAAACGGGTTGCCGACTGCTCCCGACAGGCAATGCCACCGCTGGAAGTTGGAGATCGGGTGTGGCTGTCCACGAAACACCTCCCCTCAGACCGGCCGGTGAGGAAATTGGACCACCGCTTTATCGGTCCCTTCCCAGTCGAGGCGGTCATCAATCCGGTGGCCTACCGGTTGACTCTACCACACTCCATGCGGCTCCACCCCGTGTTTCATCGGTCCCTCCTGGTCCCTGAGGCCCCTGCGAGCCATCTCCGACGCCCGGCAATGCCTGCCCCTACGGTCGCAGCCGACGAGGACGACGCCTCGACGTACGAGGTGGACAGTATTCGGGACTCCCGTTGGCTGAAGGGGCGCTTCCAATACCTCATCGCCTGGAAGGGGTACGGGCCCGAAGATTTCAGCTGGGTGGACGCATCTTCCGTTCAGGCCCCTGACCTGGTACGGGCCTTTCACGACCAGTTTCCGTCCCGACCACATCCCGACCGTCAGACCCGGGGAAAGGGCCCTGCGGTGGGGGATAGTGTTGTGGCTCCGTCCTGTGGGTCCCTCTCATCAGAGGAGGAAGGGTCTGAACATGACGGAGAGGAGATGGCCAGGCCTCCCTCTCCAGGACCTTCCCCTCTGGTGCGGCCTTCGGTGCCTTCCGACGGAGAGGAGATTGGCCAGGAGCCCGGTGCTTCTGGGATTGGCCAGGAGCC